TTGTTGGGTTGTTATGCATGTTTCCTTATCGCTTAGCATCAGAAATACAAAAATAAGTTGTTTTTGTTAAATACATAATCTGGGGTCGATAAGAAGGCAAATATTCTATAAAGAGGTCAACAGAATAAAAAGTTTGGGGACCCCTAGTATAGATAGAATTAGGTTCACACAAGATCAAAGCCTGAAGTGCACTAACTGACCAAGTGTAAATCACACAGTGATGTTGACCTTTCCTATTTACGTATTTTAAAGCTAAATAAATAGCCTGCAACTCCACAGAAAAAAAATCAAAGAATTTGGTGCTATTTGTTCTGCCACAATTTCATTTTGGCAAACAAAGGCTTAGCCAACAAAGTTATCCAATTTAAATTTATCAATGTAAATAGAAATTAAATTCCTGTCATAATGTTGAATTTCTGCAAAGTGCTGTCTGTAGACGTAATCTAGCATGGTTTCTTTGGTGAACTACTTTAAGTTTAAGTCAACATTTATCAGTGAGGTTGACCAAGGTAAAATACTATTAACCACAACCTGTAAGATGTTGCTTGTGATAAAGTCAATCATGCTGTTTACATTCTCCATTCTTATGTCGAATGTAAGGACGCTACTTTTCCAAGCAACAAACAATCTTTTCACCTGAGTATCTAAACAATCAGCTGTAAGTTTATTCTGAGATTTCTGTTTAATGTAGTAAAAAAAAAAAGACAACTGTTCTCTCGAGAGATAACGGAGGCTCGTAAGCATCCACATACAAACTTTGAACAACAGAAGTTCAAAAAGCACCAGTGCACAAATGAAATGCTTAATGGTAGATTGGATCCAGCATCTGAAGAGTAGATTCTCACGCAGAGCCATACACAACGCATCCATAATCCAGCTTAGAGCAGACAAGGGTAAATAAATCCTGAGCATAGAACATTTGTCTGCTCTGCAGGATAAGCAGCATAGTACCTTTAAAAGGTTACAAACTTTAAACATCTACTCTTCAAATTGCACAAGTGTGGCAAGAACGTCAGTTTTTGGTTAAACAAAACACCCAAAAACTTTGCCTTGTTAACCATTGGGACTTTAACCCCATTTAGGTGAATTTTAAGATTCAGGTGCAAATCACATCTTCAGCAAAAGTGGGTGCACAAAATATTCTCCGTGTTAAAAGTAAAACCATTGGACTTGGACCAATTTTCTATGCGATTTAGGGAGGTTTGCAGTTGTCTCTCAATGAAACTCATGTTACTAGACTGGCAAATCTGAAATTCATCCACATACAGTGTGTGTTACACACTTAGAGAATGACAGTAAGCTATGCTATTAATTTTAATTATGAACAGAGTCACACTCAAAATACAACCTTGAATAACGCCTTCTTCTTGGGCAAAAGTCCTAAATAGAGTGTTGCCCATCCTGACTTGGAATCTTTGATTCTGTAGGAACTTTTTTATAAAAATTGGCAAATTACCCCACAAACTGAATTCATGCAAATCACAGAGTAACCCATATCGCCAGCAGCAGTTGTAGGCTTTTTCTATATAAAAGAATACAGACATAAGTGCTGTCATCGAACAAATGCTTCGCATATAGATGTTTCAAGGTTTCTCAAATTATGTATGGTACTTCTTTTCCTACAAAGTACCAAGGATCAGGGGTCTACCATTCTCTCAATGAGTTTACAGACAAAACTCATCAGAGACAGTGGTCTGTAATTACAGTCTTTTCCTGGCTTGGAAATGAAACAGATTCAAAAGTTTAAATCTTCCTTTTCTGTTTGCACTTTATAAACTTGAAAATTTTTTGAATACATTATATTGCTGCATGAAGAGAAAAATGTTTCACCCAACATATCAACAATACCCTGTATATTGCTGGTTATTGTGTCATTATTTTCCAGCATGAGAAGCATCTTTTCCACTAATTTTAGGAATTTTCTCCCAGACTGCTTTTGAGCTACTGGAAGATGTTATACCAGATACATACTTAATCCAAAAATCCCTTTGGTATTGCCTCCTTATTCTAGCATTTGTCTTTTGAAATGCAATTAAATTTCTAGCAGTGGAATAATTTCTGAAAATTCCTCATGCCTTTGTTTTTTGTATGCTGCCTTGCAATTCTGGTTCCTCCATAATTTCAAATGTTTTGAATATCTGATTGATGTTTTTTCCATTGTTTTTTCAGCTGCTTGAATGATACTGAAAGTGACAGCTCAAACTGCATCATTAATATCAATAATATTCACCCTTTCCTCAAAAATGTTGGCCATAGACAAAAATGCAGGTAAATCAGTTGTCTCCAGTTTCCAGTGTGATAGACAAGCTGTTACACAGCTTTCTTTTCCTCAGTATTTTGAAAATATTTGGAAGTGGTCATTGCAAAGTGGATTACATCCATCCTCCTATAACGCTGAGAACAATTTTGGGGTTCCTAATGATAAATCAATTGCAATGAATGTTGTTCTTGGGACAAGGAAGTATTTCATTTCTCCACTACTATATAGGTACAATTCATGATTTCCTACAATAACTTTGCCTGGACAATTGATGTCAATACTGTCACACATCAAATTGTGGTCACAGAAATCACAGTAGAAGGAATGGACTCAAAAGCTGTTCAAGCAAGGTATCTAATTCATCCTTATTGACTCTGACATCTAATAGCAAGTGTATAGAACAAACTATGACAATTATGCCAATTGAGATTCCGACTGCCACTGCTTGAAAGTCTGTAGTTATTTGTACTGGCAAGGATGAAATGTGTTGTGAATCCACACCACCACTGGCATAGTTGGGGGAATCATCGTCCTTACAGTAGAGATTGAATCATTTTAAAGAAATTCTTTCTCCAAATTTTAGATGTGTTTCCTAGAGTGCCTCATGAAATTAGTGCTTTCTGTTGTAAAAATTTCCAAACTCCAGTAAAATATTTTTAAATAAATAAAGAAATAAAATAATAAGTAAAAATATCCCTTAATAAAATTAATTAAAATTAAATTTCATATACAAACCACCATGCAATACGTAAGTTGTCACATCTCTATGGTTGATGCATATAAATTTTTTGTAAGATTTACATATTTCCAGTTTTTCTAGATATTCCATAGTGTCTATATTCAATGTGGGTCTGATGATGGATGCCTGCTCCATGCTTACTTATTTGTCTTGATGTTGCTAATATGCTGCCAGTGTCATATTATTGACATTTTTTTTAATTGTGTATTTACATTCCTTGAGCTGTTGTTGTAAATTACACATAGTGGCAGTGGGTGCCACTATGTGTAATTTACAACAACAGCTCAAGGAATGTAAATACACAATTAAAAAAAATGTATTGACCAGTTTTGATTTGAAATGCAAATTAATTATTAAGGTGGAGTAAATCCCTGTAGTCAAATTACAGTTATATGGTTTCTTATAGTGATGTAATGAATATTCGATTACTATTCGGTATTCAGCCTATTTTTCACTATTCGGCCGAATACCAAATACCTAAAAACAGGAGTAATAAACAACAAAAACACAGTAAATTAATCATTTTGGTATTTAGATTTAATGTTATTGAGTGTGTTGTTTGTTTATATTTATTTATAACTTGTAACATGCACAAAATAAAAAATAAAATAATATTAGTCACATGTATTCACAATTTATAATTACAAAGATCAGCACACATACACACCTATTCGTTCAAGAATCGTCACACATCTGAGGGTCTGACCCTGCCTATCCTTCTTTTTAAGTGCTCGTCTTTGCTCTTCCCTTTCTCTTACCTCTATCTCTCTACTCCATGTATGCCTGTGCATACATCATAATACGCACTCACAATACTTTCAATTTGTCACTTTTCCATCGTAGAGTTCCCATTTTACAATTACGTAACTCAGCCTGGTGATAACGGAGAAAAGAGACAGATAGGACATCGATATAAGTCATATGATTTCACAGATTCGAGACAGCTTGATAGCCCGGTGCACGCTAAGTGACTTTCATTACAAGCATTTAGCTTTCCAAAGTCTATGACAACAATTGTTTGGCATTGACCGGTGCGAATTTTGTGCCAATAAGCTGCCTCGACTTATTCGATTATGTTATCAACTCGATTTCATATTTATTTTCACGTTTTCACTTCGCGGTCCTTCTCTGTTCTTTTTCCGTTATTTACAAGTGTAGGTTATTTGATATCATCATTTATCACATACTTCCATGACACTCTTGTCTGTCGGCTACAACTGCCAAGAATTAACACAATTGGCGAAGCGGAGTGACAGCAGGCAAATAGAGAGCAGGATCCTTGCCATAATGCGGTTTGCGTGCCAATTTTCGTACGTGTGTTAAGCTTAGTTCACACTCGACGTGATTCGCTAGCGAAAGCGAAAAACAGAGAAAATAACACGTCAGACATGACGTCATTTCTGGCAAATTTTACCATTTCGCAAATCGCTTTGAAGTTCGGAACTGTCGAGCTTTTTCGCTAGCGAAAAATTTTCGCCACCAATCAGATTCCCTCTAGTTGTCACGTGGTTCTTGATGTTTTCAACATGGCGACACAAGCTTCTTCTCAGTGTAAAGTAAATATAGAACAACTTTTAGAAGGAATGGAAGATGCTCCATTTTTATATACAAAAATGGATCGGAGATACAAAGACGTCGATTTGAAGGAAAATCGGAGGAAGTTGATTGCAGAGCGTCTTAATTTGACAGGTGAGTAAAGTTTGTTTGTACTTGTAGTTAAGCCTATTTGGAATAAAATGAACAATCAAATTTGAATGTGCATTTGTATATTATTTCTTATTAATAACCTAAATCATTTATTTAAATAAGATTATTTGGGTTTTAAAGATATAAAATTTGCTAAGTTATTTAACTTAGCAAAGTTAGCAAATGACTCAATTCATAGTTAATGTTATGAGAAAAATATCATAACTTGAATATTAACCAAAGAGTTTAAGCAATATTTTGATAGCAATAGATTTAAATACCAAAACATTTAAAAATATTTAACACTTGATAGTTACTAATAACAAATATGATTGTGAAACATTGAGGGGTGGTTTTTTTGTAATTATTAGATGTAAATTAAATTAATCAGCTGCAGTCCCCAAGAATACATTTATAAAAGCCTTTTAAGTAGAATTTAAGACAAATTTAACCACAAGTTTACAAACCTAACATACATAAATCATTAAAAACAAAAAATACCCATTCAAGTACAGAATGGCAAAATACCACTGTATATTGAACGAATGTCTTGTAAGAGTTTAATTGTATTTTATTAAGAAACAATGCTGTTAATTTTAATTGATTATTATTTATAAATATTTTAACATGGAATTTTGTTTTTCTGTTATTATTTTGAAGTTGAAGAAGTAAAGAAGAAATGGAAGAATCTTGTAGATACCTACAGGAAAGAAAAAAAAATTATAGATGAAAAAACTAGAAGTGGTGCTGGTGTGGATGACCTCCACAATTGTAAGTGGAAATGGTTTCCTCAAATGCACCTTCTAATGAATATAGTCAATGGACAGGATGAACAATTTTCACAGTATGTAACAGAAATATATTATTAAATATTATAATGAATAATGATACAAGACAATAAAAAGTCATAGTTTAAAACAAATTTTTTTAAAGTTGAAAAATAATCTAGATAAAACTTCACTTATATATTTTTTTATTTACTTTATTAGAACTTGTAGCAATCTTTCATTAAATGATGGCCTACAAAGTGAAGATATGGAAGAGATGTGTCCTGTGCAGGTGTCTTATCCAGAAAGTCCAAATTTTCAAAGTCCTTCAATGTAATATATTGTTGTGTTCTATCCAAAAGTTAATATATGGTTTATATGTTGTTAGTAAATTAATCATTCCTTATCTCAAGTTATTTAATAATAATGTTAAGTGCTCTACATACATCAAATATTTTTCCTTTAGTTTAAACCTGTATTCTTAAGTCTACATTTATGTTTTAATTTTATTATTTGTAGTTTAATTTTTTCATCTACTATGCATAGCCTATATATATATTTCATTTTATATATTTATAATTTTTAGGGATATTTCAAAAGATGTACCATGCACATCATCATCATCATCTACAGAATTCTCAACATTGCCAAAGCGTCGAAAAAAAAGTAAGGAACAAGATGATGTGCACAATCTAATCCAACTGACGGAGACAATGGTAAACCGTCAACAAAAAGAAGATGAACTATACCATTATTGTGTCAGTTTAGCTGACAGATTAAGAAATCTGAGTCCACAAAAGCGAGCAGAGGCTCGTTTTAAGATAGAGGAAATTATGTATAACATTACAAAAGAACATTTATGAATGTTCTTTTGTAATGTTATACATAATTTGTTGTATACATAATCATGTTGTACATAATAAAATTTTGCAAATAAAACATTCTATCATTAAAAAATATTTTATTTTGACTTTTACATTTTATTATACATTTGTTATTCGATATGATTTACATAATTTCATTGCCATGGTAAAATATTCTTTTCTTGAAAATAAGTAGCAAATTGTTCTCTAATGTCTCTTGCACATTGCGAATAATTATGCTGTTGACATGGTCTTTGAGGAAGAGATGATGATCCACTTCCAATCTCCTTTCTCCACTGTCCTTCTATAATAGTTCCATCAGCAGCCTCTTTATCAATAAAATGAGAGGGACAACAACATTTCATGTCTGAATTAACCTTGCTTTCTTTTGTCATCACAAAATTATGCAAACACACACAAACTTTTATGATACTATCTACAGTTTCTGGAGAAGCTTGAATGCATCTGCATAGAATCCTCCAACGTGCAAAAAGAATACCAAATGTATTTTCTATGACACGTGTAGCTCGGCTAAGTTTGTAGTTAAATATTCTTTTTTTTCGTTGTTAATTGTCTGCCAGGATATGGTCGAAGTAAATAAGTTTTTAATGGAAATGCCTCGTCACTAACCATAAAATATGGTAGGTTACTAGGCATTCCATTTATTGGTGATGATTGTGGCCAATCCAATTTTCCTGTTTCCAGTGATCTGCCAAGACTTAAATGGGAAAATATATCTCCATCACTTCTTCCACCAAATCCACCCATATCAACATATATAAATCTATATTTGGCATCACTTACAGCTAGGAGAACTTTACTAAAGTTGCCTTTATAATTATAATATACAGAGCCTGTATTTGGAGGGCAAACCATTTGTACATGTTTCCCATCTATGGCACCAACACAATGAGGAAAATTCCATCGTTCTTCAAATTCCATAGCAAGATTGGCAAATTCCTAGGACTCTGCTTGGAAACTTCACATATTCTTTTGCCAACACATGCCAAATAGCTTTGCAAGTTTCTTTAATGATAGTGCAAACAGTTGATCTACCCATTCGAAATGCAAAGGCTTGGAAAATTTGATAATCTCCACTAGCTAAATACCTAAAATTATCAAACAAATCATTTATCACTTGCATTTATAATCTATTAATATATTTCCTTATTTGAAAAAAAAATATATATATATATCTATATATATAAAAATGAATGTATGTCTGTGTGTGTGTGTGTCCTATGTCCTTCATGCATTACCACACTGTTTATCCGATTGCCGTGAAACTTTGGGAAGTTGTTTAATATACTCTGGCGAAGGTTTGTGGCATAGTACAATTGCCATAAAACTTTGGAAAGTTTTTTTAATTTTTTAATACACTCCCGCNTTAACTTTGCTTTCTTTTGTCATCACAAAATTATGCAGACACACACAAGCTTTTATGATACTATCTACAGTTTCTGGAGAAGCTTGAATGCATCTGCATAGAATCCTCCAACGTGCAGAAAGAATACCAAATGTATTTTCTATGACACGTCTAGCTCGGCTAAGTCTGTAGTTAAATATTCTTTTTTTCGTTGTTAATTGTCTGCCAGGATATGGTCGAAGTAAATACGTTTTTAATGGAAATGCCTCGTCACCAACCATAAAATATGGTAGGTTACTAGGCATTCCACTTATTGGTGATGATTGTGGCCAATCCAATTTTCCTGTTTCCAGTGATCTGCCAAGACTTGAATGGGAAAATATACCTCCATCACTTCTTCCACCAAATCCTCCTATATCAACATATATAAATCTATATTTGGCATCACTTACAGCTAGGAGAACTTTACTAAAGTTGCCTTTATAATTATAATACAAAGAGCCTGTATTTGGAGGGCAAACCATTTGTACATGTTTGCCATCTATGGCACCAACACAATGAGGAAAATTCCATCGTTCTTCAAATTCCATAGCAAGATTGGCAAATTCCTCTTTGCTTGGAAACTGCACATATTCTTTTGCCAACACATGCCAAATGGCTTCGCAAGTTTCTTTAATGATAGTGCACACAGTTGATCTACCCATTCGAAATGCAAAGGCTTGGGAAATTTGATAATCTCCACTAGCTAAATACCTAAAATTATCAAACAAATCATTTATCACTTGCATTTATAATCTATTATTATATTTCCTTATTTTAAAAAAATATATATAGGCCTATACATTTTATATAAATTTTCAATATGGATATAAAACGAGATCTCGGAATTAAAGGTCTTGTTTAATTTAAAATATAACTATAAACATATAAGTTTTAAATATCAATTTTATATTTAAATCCACTTTTGAACTATTTTTTACGGATTCCTTATTTAATTTCTTATATCTAATCGTAAAAATTATTCTCTGAATCAATGGATAAAAATGTTTTAAACTTATGTTGGTGGCAAAAAATAAATTTTAAACAAACTAGAACTATATTAGAGACACGTATGCTTGCTTGCTTATCGATATAAAATCACAAATTTGTTTTATTTCAATCAATTAATAGTAAATATCGTTTATTAAACTCAAAATGCCATACCTTAAATGTGACTTCTAAACATTCTCTAGGAGATATGGCCTTACGAAAATTCGTGTCTTTTTTTACGTATCAATGGCCCTACTCTACACAGCAATTCGTCGAATAATTCTTTGGTCATTCTAAAACACCTAAAACGTGTTATAATAAATTTTTTGTTAGTCATATATTTTCTTACTAAAGAGAATAAAAATTAGTATAAACAGTCCTACCTAAAACAATTCTCTTTGTCATTCAGTCTCATCTCTCGCACCAAATTAGCATGGTAACCATGTAATTCTCAGTCTTTTAAAATATCTTTCACCCGACATCGCTTTCTTTTTTAGTATCTTTTTCTCTCAATAAATAAACAAACGTGGTTAACAACAAGATATCGGAAGCAGCCATTTTGTTTTTCGAGATGACGTTTCACTTGCTTGCAAATGATTGGCTGCTTAAAATTCGCAATCCGCTTTTCACTTTTGGTTGTAGGGTCAATTTCGCTAAGCGAATAAAAATCGCTTTTCGCCCAGTGTGAACTAAGCTTTAATCAAGCCGAATATTCGGCTATTCAGCCACACTCCTGGCCGAATATACTATTCGTTACAACACTAGTTTCTTACCATTTCTTAGAATTCTGAAGACCGCTGAATTGTGTCAATATACTACCTCTCTACTACATTATTAGCCCTGGTTGCATTCTTATGGTCACTCCTTAAAACTATGATATAATTTAAGACAACCCTTTGTTTCTGGTTCACCAATGCATGTTGATGTTTTGGTGTATGAAAGGTTGCAATTAATTTCCGTATTATTTTTTTTATCAGATAAAAATCGCACAGCAAAACAGTTAAGAGATAATCTATCTCCATTACAATTTCCCAAATACAGGTACAATGGGTAGGTATATGCCCTTCTTATCAAAGGTCTAAAGGCTGTGAATTTGATTTGGTGTGCCAGGGCTCAACCAAGTTGTATGGAATTAAAAGTAATTGAAAACATCATTTCCTGTATACATTTGTCCAAATTTCGCCATACTTACAAAAGAAGGAAATGTCCAAGAAATTTATTGTCGTTTCACTTTTCTGGTCCAATTGTAAGAGTAACCGTTAGGAATTATCATTGATCTGCACTAAAAACCTCTGTAGCTTTGGTTTTTCTGCCACAAGACAAAGATATCAACATGTCCTGTGTATAAGATGATGTATTGGAATTCGGATAGGATTAGTTTTCTAATTGTCACACGACTAGTTCACGAAGTATTGCTAAATTGGGACTGCCTATAGGCACACTGCCTCCTTGTAAGTATACCTTGTTTTCAAATTCAAAAAAATGATGTATAACATATAAGATGCACAAGTTCCAGTATACAGTATGTTTGTGTTGTTTACGTGCATCTTCAACGTTGGAAAACAGAAAAGAGTTTTTCTGTTTTCCAACACACACACAAAACACTTGTATTTTTATAGACGATACATTGATTTGGAGTGTAAGACAGTCATATACTCATTGTCTACCAGCAAAATGGTACCAAGGTATTCTATAAACTGTAGAGAGTTATTAATGAAAAATACATGATAAGTAGCTTTAGAGTTGTGAAATTTCACTAGCTGCTTCTCAATCAAGAATGATAAAAAATTACATTTCTCAATCACCAGACTTAGTTGGTTTCCCAGTTTGTGAGTCTTGGCAAATGTGAAAATTCTTGGTGTTCTTGGAGTGCAGACCATGAAGAAGTGCATATGTAACAGTTGTGCCAGGAAGTGGACATGAATCTTTTAACTCTTTGCTGTAAGGATTCTAAAAATTGATGGGTGCTAGCTGGCATTCCATGGTTGTAATATATTCTCTTAATTTTAATAAATTTTATTAACGGATATTTATTCGTTTATTTTTACTTTATTTTATTTCTTTATTTATTTTTTGTAATTCTTGTTGTTGTTTTTAAATTTTTGTATTCACGTTCTATTTTTCTGTTCTATTTTAACTGAAGGGTCAGTGAAACTGGTTGAAAATATTCTTATTTTGTTAAATTCATTGCTGGGTTCTAAAAATGNAGTTTTTTAAAAAGAAGACTACACCAACAAATGCTTTCCTGACAGTTTTAGGAGAAAGTACAATAAGCAATATTGTATTTCAAAGCAATCTATACAGCCAACAAAAACAAATAAATATTGAGACAATTAGAGATGAAGAAATGTATGGATTTCTAGGACTGCAATTCCTTTTTGGATATCATCGTTTACCCCAAACTCATCATTATTGGTGTAGTGATATAGATTTATGCATTCCCATTGTTCAAGAAGTGATGACAAGAGAAAGGTATAAACAAATTTTATCAAACTTACACGTAAATGATAACTTATCCATTTCTTCAGATAACAAGGACAAACTATATAAGATACGACCACTGATCACTGTAATGAATGAAAACTTCAAAAAATTCCAACTACCAGATCAATTTCAGAGTATAGATGAAAGCATGGTTAAATTCAAAGGCCGTTCATCCCTGAAGCAATACAATCCAATGAAACCTGAGAAGAGAGGTTACAAACTCTGGTGTCATGCTGATATGTCAGGATACATATATGAATTTATAATTTACCAAGGAAAAAAACACAGTGATTCTAGGAAAAAAAATTTGGTCTTGGAGGAAGTGTTGTAGTAAAGTTATCATCATCCCTTCATAATGGAAATTTTATAATTATAATGGATAATTATTTCACATATCTAGAGTTGTTTGAATATTTAAAATCACAGGGTGTTTATGCATGTGGAACTATACGTTCAAATTGAGCAGGAGTTCCGAAACTTGCAAATGACAAGGACTTAGAAAGAGGAAAGTATGATTTCAGAACATCTGATCAGGGTATCATATATTTCAAATGGAAAGACAATCGAAGTGTTCATTTATTGTCCAATTACCACGGAACAGAAGTCGTAAACGTAAAACGCACTCAGAAAGAGGGAACAAAACTAGACGTGCCAGCACCACTGGCTATCAGAAATTACAATACTCATATGGGAGGAGTTGATAAAGCTGACATGTTAAGATCATTGTATGATCGAAATAGAAAATCAAAAAAATAGTGGCATAGATTGTTTTTTGCAATTATAGAAATGGCTCTTGTGAGTGCTTATATAATTTTCACTGATTTGAATGAAAAAGTTTCATTTTTGCAATTCAAAAAGACAAGTAGCTCAGGGTTTATTAACAAAAGGAAAAAAACCATTTTCAAGTAGAGGAAAACCAAAACAAATATCGTTAGATCAAACAACTGATTCATTACCAAAAAGAAAAAAAATAGCATTTTCTGTAAGCAATGATATTAGATTACAAAATCAGGGAGGACATTGGCCTGAATTTGTTTCTAAAAGAGGCCGATGTGAATACTGTGCTACAAAGCATACAGAATCAAGACCACATTCAACATGCACATTATGTAAAGTTTTCTTGTGTGTAAATCAAAAAAAAATTGCTTTCTTGATTTTCACCAAACATAAATTATTAAACCAATGAATTTAATTGCAGGTTTCTTTTTCATTTCATTATTTTTTAAAAATTTTAATTTTATTATATTGTAAAAATTCTCAAATACATAACTATGCATTAAATCTACCAAATTTTCTAATAAAAATTCTTTATATAAACAAAAATGTTTAATTTATGTGATATTTAACAAAAAGGGACTTGTAAGTCCCAATGAGCTCTAAAGCCTGACAAGACTTCTAAATCCCATAATTAAAAAATTGTTATTATACATTTTAATTTTTTTTAATTTACTTATCTGTGAACAAACACCTCTTCTGATGATATAATAAGAAAAAATAAATTTTTTATCAAAAAATGAAAATTCAGGCTATAAAGGGTTAATAATTAATGCAAAACGTTTGTTTCTTCATCCTTTTCACTACACTTTCTGCCATCACAACAATCAAACTTCACGTGACTAATGCACATCACTACACATCACAAATCCTTGAGTTTTTATTGGTTGCACTACAACAAAAGTGCAAAATGATAATGGAAAACTTAAAATTTTTAACTCTGCTTTAAGTCGTGTTTCTGTCCAACTCATTGTCAGTTTGGCTTTCAGTTTTATGATTATGTTGCAGATTCTGGTAATTTGGAGTCCAGACTTCAGTCAGACAAATTATCAAAATCAAGTGCCCTCAAATCAAATGCACTGTTTTTGTGTCTTATTGCATCTAATTGTCCATATACTATGAAACTATAAAGAAATTAACAGTACCAATAAAATAACACTTCTGCTGTTAAACAACAAAAAGCAAAATATTGGATAAAGAACATAAAACAGCAATGTCTTAAAAAGACCAAACATCTGATTAAATCCAAAATTACAAATGAAAAATATTTAAAAATAAAAAGTTTTGCCTTATCAAAAAAAATTTTTGGCCTAAAATAATAGATTGCACAATGTGTTACCTGATTCTTGATGTCCATGTAACTGCTTTTTCCTTCTTGTAAACTTTGTATTATCTAACATTATTCGCATCAGTCATCAGTTTCACAAAAATTTCTGTGCATTTCGTAATCATCGGCTGCACTACATACATTGTTTGCTCAAAAACTCTAATGATAATTTTT